CGCCCCCCTCCCAAGCCTGGGCAGGGCGCCTGCGGAAGGTGGAGGAGAGCCAGGCCAAGCCCTAGGTGTGCGTCCAGCGAGCCTCTAAGGGGCGAACACTTGGAGAGGAAGCCCGGCTCCCCAGTTCCGGGACGCAATTCACAGCCATTGAGTGGACGTGGGCCCCCGTCAGCGCGGAGGGCGTGGCAGAGCTGGCTCCACCCCCCGCCCGATTCCCGATGGCAAATCTTTAGTTTTCCTCCAGCAAAATGAGCGTGTTTCCGCAAGCTTTTCGCTCAATGAGCGCCAAACGCATTGCACGATTAGCTAGCTCAAAGAACTGATTTCCCCTCACTCTAAGCAAGCTTGAAACTAGTAAACTCTTATGGAGGCAGTGGTAACTGGGCCCATCTAGTCTAGCAATCTAATTTCAGAGAGGGAGGCCGGATCAACGGTGGCTTCGGAGTTGATCTTCAGGCAGTTGAACTGAAGACAGGTCAACTCTTGTCATGGTGACTTTGGGGGACTCTCAAGGGGATAATGCACATAGCTTTCCTCAAAGGGCCCAGGATGACCCCAGAGGCCTGTTGTGAAGAAGTCTGGAGAAAACCGAGAAGTGCACTGGTGAGAAAAGGGCCAGAAAAGTCGTGCCCCGGATCATCTTCCACCACGATGCACCTGCTCATGCGCCAAGGGCAGCAGCCTGTCCCAGGAAATTGTCACTGGGAAACTATCCCATCCACCTCACAGTCCCAATTCTGTCCGTCCAACTTGCTTTTGTTCCTCAAACTTATTTCAAAGGAACGAAACTGGGAGTTTCCCGGGGATGCCAAAACTGCCATGGAAATTGCCGTGGTGTAAATTGCGAGTGCAGAATACTTCGGTGAGCAAGGCTGTATGATCTGCAGACCACAGGTTAGGAAGGCTCCCTCCAATCCTGAAACCACATTCTCCTTCATATAATCCAACTTCTCTGATGGTGTGCCCAGCATGGATTGAAGAATGTGGTGAGGACACAATCCTGTGGCACCCTCACAGATTTTATCATTTTATTGGGGGCTCTTCCAAATCTTCTAACAATCATTCAATTGTATTAAGCACACTTTCACAGATGTTGCCATCAGCATTTCCAAAACATTTTCTTTCTACTTGAGCCTTTGGTATTGGCTTTTCCCTCCACCCTTGTGAATCCTTGATCAATTATGTATTACTTTTGTTATTTTGTGGCACTCCTGATTTTAAACCATGCAATCTTCCTGTCTTATTCACACACCTGCCTCTTGATCCATGTAGAAGTTCTATGTGAGCACAAAAAAATGCTTAGGAAGTCCCATTCTTAAGTTAACAGGTTGGCTGCTAACCAAAGGCTGGCAGTTTAAGTTCTCCCAGAGATGTATGGCAGAAGGCCTGGTGACCAATCCCGGAAAAATTAGCCACTGAAAACTATGGGGTTAGTACCTTTCAAGGCTGATTTCCTACATTTGAAAGCATGGGACCATACCACCTGGAATAACTCAGGGGTCCTCAAACTTTTTAAACAGGGCCAGTTCACTGTTCCTCAGACCCGTTGGAGGGCCAGACTATAGTTAAAAAACAAAAACAAAAAACTGAACAAATTCCTATGCACACTGCACATCTTATTTTTAAGTAAAAAAAAACAAAAGGGGGAAAAACACCCAGCAGGCCAGATAAATGTCCTTGGCGGGTCGCATGTGGCCCGCAAGCGGTAGTTTGAGGACCCCTGCCCTAAAGGATAATTGGGAGTCCCACTTCCACCTTTCTCATTTCATCCTTCTTCCTAAGGGCATGGCATTAGGAGCTATCTCTATGGCCTGGCTCTGATCCCCTCCATTCCCCTCCCCTTCCACACCCCCGACCCCATGAAAATGGAAACTACTCCAGTACCAACTCTATTAACCTACTCTCCAGATTTTTATTTTCTACCTCTTCCCACTCCCTCCTTCAACTGTTCTCTCCTTTGCTCAGCTCTTCAACGGCCTCTTCTTTGCTTTGTCCCATGAATGTTGGTGGAATCCCTCCAGGTTTCCTTCTTGGATCCTACTCTTCTACTCTCCTGAGTGCTGCCACCTTCCATCAGGTCCACATCTCCATGAATAAACCAGCTCACCATACCCAGAGGTTGCCCCACTGATAAACCCAACCCCCATTACACATCTCCACTGGATGTTCGACAGATGCTCTGGGCCAGCAACTGGAGGGCTGAACCTACTTTTTATTAATGTCACTGCTACCTTCTCTTTAACCTTCCCTCTTGGGTTGATCTGATCCTAAGTTTTGATTGTCCAGGCACCCAGTTCTGCCATTGCAAGACCAGTCTCCTACCTGGCCTTGCTGCCCCAGGCCATGATACCTTAGTTAGAGGGACTTTACAGGAGAGAAATCTAATCAAGTCACTTCTAACCCATGGGAGAAAAGAAAACCCAAGCTCTTTAGCACTCATTTCCTATTTTATTTCTTACCATCCCCTTCTCTTATTCCACCATCCAGCCAGAACAAATCATGCGTAGGCCCTTAGATTTTGCCATTTCTTAACCTCTGGACCTTCATACATGGTTTCCACTCAGGCTAGATCTACTCTTTCCTGCCACCACTGTTTATCTTCTTAAACGGCTGAGGGCAGCTGCACTGGGAAGCTTCAGGAACTGCCTGAATGAGGGGTCCATGTTGGTACTTTAGTTGACACAGACAATGCTTCACTTGCTGGTGCATCTCTTATACCTAGGCCTGGACATTACCAAGCATAGGGGGCAAAAAAGAAGTTGTTTGAATAGATAAATGACCCCATCCCTTCACTCTAACAGCAACACTGCAGGAACTCAGGAAGGTGAGATACTAGCTTTCAAACATGCTCAATACCTGCACCAAAAGAAACAAAACAGAAACCAAACTCGCTGCCATCCAGTCTATTCGACTCAACAGCAACCCCAAGGACAGAGTGAAACTACTCCTGTGGGTTTCCGAGTCGGTATTATGGGGGTAGACAGCATGGTCTTTTTCTCAGAGCAGCTGGTGGTTTTTAACTGCTGACTTTGTGGTTAGCAGCCCAACTTGTAACCACTACACCACCAGGGCTCCTGGCTCAATACCTCAAGCTCCTGGGAGGAGGAAGAAGAGGAGGAAGCTATGCTAGTAGAGTGCTTCAGAGGCAACTCCCATGAGATGAAGTGGGAGGGACAGAAGACTAGGAGTTAACCACATTTATTGACTGATGACAAAGTACACAGATGAGTCAATATTGCAGGCCCAGGCTGCCCCAGCATGCTCACCTTTATCTGGGCTCAGCTGGGCCTGCCAGGAGAGTCAGTGGCAATCTTTCTCACCCAGTACCCAAAAGGAACCAGTCCTGGTCCACGTTTTTCCAGACTCCTGAGTGTTCTGTTCAACTGGATTGCCTTGGTAGGTAGCATCAGCCTGGACCAGATTGTTCAACTGGATTGCCTTGGTAGGCAGCATCAGCCTGGACCAGAGATTGTTGAACTGGATTGCCTTGGTAGGTAGCATCCGCCTGGACCAGATTGTTGAACTGGATTGCCTTGGTAGGCAGCATCAGCCTGGACCAGAAATTAGTCTTTGGGCCCCACCCATCAGCCTCCTGGGTTGGGCCTGAGGTGCAGGAAATTTCAGCGTCTGTAGTCGGCCACATGCCAGTCATATGGGTCCAAGGGGAGAACAGTGAGGAAGTGGGTTGAGAGGCGAGGCGCGGCTGTTCTACCCACCTGTGGGAGGATGGGGGCCCTGGCATGTAGCTGCTGAGGAACGGGGCAGGAAAGGGGACTAATGTGGACCCAACTATAGCCAAAGGTTATGGACGGGGACCTGGGGCCAAGGGCAGAGCTTACCAGCTCAGATGACATTAGACTCCTGGACCTTCTCTCCCCAGTAAAAACGATTAAAGAGGAAGGAGCTTAGGTCGATGGTCTGGAAGCGGCCCTGCAACACCAACTCTGCCACAGCTCGCCCCACAGCAGGGGCTTGTTGGAGCCCGTGACCACTGAAGCCCGTGGCGAAGTACATGTTGACAACCAGTGGGTGGGGACCCACTACCCCATTCTGGTCAAAGGTGTTGTAGTCGTAATAGCCAGCCCAAGCGCGCCGAACCTGCAGAGACACAAGCCTGGTCTGAGGAAGGCTACAGGATAACGCTCAGCCCAGGGTGAGAATACCACAGCCCCTCCAGTCGGAGGGGGGCTGTGGGATGGGCCGGAGAGAGGTGAGGTGGCAGGAGTATGATAGTGGGCAGGACTTCCCAGGAGACTGAGGTCCTCCGGTGTCACCTGTCTTCCCCCATGTCAGTTACCTTCAGAGTCTCAAACGCTGGCACCCTCTGGGCCAAAGGGGGCCACACCTTTTCTTGGAAGAAATCATGGTCCACATCCAGGTTCCCCGAGTCTGGCTCCTCTTCCTGGGGTGAGAGGTGGGAGGAGGCTTGTTTGGCCTGGGACTTAGCAGTACACCCAGACCTCACAGACTACTTTATCAATCCCCCAGCAGGTGGAGGATGGGAGAAAAGACCCCAATTCTTCCTCAAGAACACAACCTGGAGCCCTTCAGACGATTGGATTCTTTAAGGACAAAGGCTCTGTGACTCGTTCTGAGCACTACCCCACTGAGGTTACCTCGGAGGGGCTCCGGCCACCTAGGTAGTTGTTGCCTAGTCCTTCCCGGCGGAAATAGGCTCCACTGGTGTCTGTGACAAATGGGGTCTCCAGGCCTGGTCCCTGCGGGCAGTGCCATATGTACACATACCTGTTGTAACCAGTGGGGTCAGGAACGAGAGAGTAGTACAATCGAAGGCTCCACCCTCTGTAGTGTTTAGGCGCATGCGCACACACACATACAACTTCAGTGTCTTTTCTGTCCTCTCACCGGCCTCTCTCCAACTGCCCTGAGCAAAATCACCTTTTCCTTGGCTCCACAGGGAGCTTGATGCCTTGCAGAGTTCCGGGGGGCCCCGTCCCAATACCAGCCAGCTCTGCAACCTGCCCAGACCAGGCTCCTGCTGCGTTAATCACGACAGCACACTCCACGGGCTGGTACTCCAGGCTGTGGTCCATCTTAACCTGCAGGGGTCAGAGGGCGCGGGCTGGAGGGCCTTGGACAGATGCTGGTTACCACAGCGGTACATTTCTCCGGAGTCCCAGCACCCCATTCAGGCAAGTGGGCAAGAGACACTAAAACAAGTTGAGCCACTGGCTTCACTGTCCACCCACTTTGGTAGGGAAGGGACTTACATGGACCTCGTGAATCCTTTTCAAAGTCAGCTTCTCCCCACCTGCTGTCTCCATGTGGTCTGATGAAGAGACGAAGCCTGCAGCACAGAGAACATCAGGAACGAGCCCCCGAGGCCACAGGGGCCCAGGCGGTAGAGCCCACTCGCTTCCTAGGGAAGGCAAGCACGGGGAGGGAAGTTTCCCCAGACTCTGAAGCAAAGGTGGAGAGCGGAGCTAGATGCACGTGGGCACACACAGGCCAGGGGCATGCTACATTGTTTGTTTCCCAAGAAGGCCAAGTCAGGAGCCGAAGTCAGGATCCCTAGCACTGCCTTTCAGGGCTGAATTCACTCTCATCCCTGCAACCCTTGCTGGGCCCGTGATTGAGGAATTCACACCTGACCACAATCATGCCCTTGCTTGGACAAGGAAACAGCAGTGGACAAGGGGTCTCAGACTCACGTGTGACCTCTCCATGGCAGAAAAGGACACCCATGGCCTGGACCTTTCGCCGAAGCCCCTGCAGCAGACACCAGGGATCAAACCAGCCTTCATTCTCCATCCCTGTGATGACAAGAGGACTTGTGAGGGAGGAGGGGCAACCCCTTTCTGCGTCTCCGGCTTTCACCCCCATCCCTAACTCCTCCCTGGGGCTCGTAACCAGGGGAGGTCATGCAGACCAGAGTCAAACCTGTGGAAGGACAGAGAGCCAGCTTGGCCCAGCGGGGGACCCAGGAGGAAAGTGCCCCTCATGCAGTTGGCTGTGGGGTGCTGAGATTTCCAAGTCGAGGGGCCCGGCAACCCTTCGTCTTCAGTAAAACCACCATCCCCTCTCCAAGGAAGCCTCACCGTAAGAAGCCAGGGCTACGCCCTCTGTGTTTATCCAGGGAAACTTGTACCGAAGCTGCTCAGGAGACATCAGACAAATTTTGGCGCCTTCCTCCCTAGGAGAAATGAGAGGTGTGTGTGTGTGTGTGTGTGTGTCAGAGAGGGTGAGTCTGTCCAGGGAGAGCACTGTGGACCCCTCCACGAGTACTGATTCCAGCGCATTCATGCCACACCTTGACCTATTATCTCCCTCACCGTTTTCCCCATTGCTGGGTGGGGAAGGACCGAGCCCCTGAGTTAAGGTTCTGCAGTGCACGACTCTTTCCTTGTCCTCTCTAAATACTCATGACCTGTCACAAGGTAGGTGACTTTGTCCCTTTACTCTTCCTTCCTGGACAGCCTTCTCCCTCCACCCTGTACTACAATCCTGTACACCAGCACACACCTCTCCATGGCACTGTCCCCAGACTGTCGGGTTCAAATCCTAGCAGCACCACCTCCAAGTTCCTGGCGCCTCATTTTCTCATGTAAAATGGGGATGTTCTGGTCACTCAATGAGTTAATACCTATAAAGCATTCAGGATAATATGTGACATGACCACCCACGGCCAGCCAGTCAATTCTGGCCCATGGCTACTCTGCACGTCAAAGAAACAAACTGCTTCATGAGGTTTTCTTGACTGTCATCTTTGTGGAGGCAGGTTGCCAGGCTTTTCTTCCGCAGTGCTGCTGGGTGGGTTTGAAAAGTAAGCAGCCTTTTAGAAGTCACGTACAAACCATCTTTGTCACCCAAGAGCATTCCCGAGGCCGCCTGTGACTAAGTCTCCCAGTATTAGAGTGCAGCCCAGAGATGCCCACCCTGACTTGTTAGAAGAGGGGTTGCTGAACTACTGTCTGAGTCAAGTCCAGCCCCCCACCTGCTTCTGTAGGAACACAACCCCATTAATTTATTCCTACGGGTGCTTCTGTGAGGCGACAGCAGGCAGAGCTGAGGGCTAGGATGGGGGCTGAAGGAAGGTCTACAAAATCAAAAATATTTTCTCTGCAGAAAAAGTATGACCCCCCCAGCCTAGGGTCCTGTTTAAAAAAAAAAAAATCAGATTTCTAGAGAATCCTCCTCTTTTGTGTTTAGCTGCCATCAAGTTGGTTCAGCCGCACAGTGACTCATATGGAGAAGAGCACCGACCCTGCCTGGTCCTGCGCCATCCACGTGACCTTTCCGCTGTTTGAGCTCATGGCTGCAGCCACTGCGAACCAACCCGTCTCTTTCAGGGTCTTCCTCTTTTTGACGAATCCTCTACTCTACCAAGTCTGATTCCCTCTCCAGGGACTGGTGCTTCCTGAGGACATGTTATGAGACCAAGTCACCACCCTTGCTTCTAAGGAGCACTCTGGCTGTACTAGTCCTCCCTAGAAATTTTAATTTCCTAGGTCTGCGACTAGAGATAATCCTTATGATCTAGCACATTCTAGAATACCTGTGTGGCAGTTTGTTCACATCTGTCCCAGAGCACCTACCCTAGGGAATTGTATGGGTCCGAATCAAGGCCGTGATTGCTAGTATGGGTTATAACGCAATGTACAAATCTCAAAAATCCTCACCACCAGACCAATACACATCATGATAAACGGAAAAGAGAATGAAGTTATCAAGGACTTCAGTGTGCTTGGATGCACAAGCAGTGCTTGTGACAGCAGCATGACTCTGTACTCTTTAAAGTGTCAGAGAACAAAGATGTTCCTTAGAGGACAAAGGTGTACATAACGCAGCCCCTATTTTCAGTGGCCTCGCGTGCATGTGAAAGTCGGACCATAAAACAGGAAAGACTGCAGAAGAACTGATCCACTTGGACAGCCAGAATGATCCTTAGGGGCAAGGATGGTGACACCTCGTCTCACATGCTTTGGACATGGTCTCAGGAGACCTGTTCCTAGAAAAGGTACAGTAGAGGGAGAGCAAAAAGGAGGAAGCCCTCCAACGAGACGGAGTGATGCAGTGGCTGTAACAATGGGGGCAGCATAACAGTGGTGAGGAGGGGATAGGACGCGCAGTGGCCCTTTTTGTTTTCTGTGGAGTCCTCCCGAGTCAGACCGATTCAGTGGCACCTAACAATAACCCGTGCTTAAGTTTCCTGGCAGACTGGGCTCCTCCAGCACAGGGACCTAGCCTTGTCAACTCTGACGTGCTGCGGGAGTTTGCTGTATGTAGAAGGCTGAGACTGACACCCACCTCTGCACCTTCACATTGCTCTCCATGACAGCAGCACCCTTCTCTGAAGATAGCAAGAGATAGCCTGAGGGGTTGAACTGGAGGTCCAGGGGAGGGTCATCAACTACAGCCAAGTACTCCTGTGTGTGCACATCAGCTCATCAAAGAAGCGAAGAAATAACCACGGCCCCCAATTCCAGTGCTGTTCCTGTGGTCTCCTAGCCAGCTGAACTGCTCCTTTCTTTGGGCTAGAGGAGGAGCCCACCACAACCCCCACAGCGTGACTTCACATACATTGATATTCCGCAGGAAGTTGACCGAGAAGAGGGAGAGCTGGATGTTCTCCGGCAATGAGAACTGCTGACGAATTCCTCCCACAGAAAGCCCCGTGGAGGCCTGTGAATACTAGGGGAAGACGAGAAAGTCAAGGTGGACTAAAACCTTATTATAGGTCAGCGGTTCTCCATCTGTGGGTCACGACCCCTTTGGGGGTCGAACAACCCTTTCACATGGATCGCCCAATTCATAACAGTAGCAAAATGATAGTTATGAAGTAGCAACAAAAATAATTTTGTGGTTGGGGTCACCACAATATGAGGAACTGTATTAAAGGGTCAAGGCATTAGGAAGGTTGAGAACCACTGTTATAAGTGAACAGGCTGATGGAAATTAAGTTGAATAACTTAATTTAAAGGGGGGTCCTACTCACAAGAGTCTTACAAACTAAGAGAAGTTGAAGGGGATAAGCTCATATGCAAGTCAACCAGCAGCCTGAAAAGAACAGTATTTATTAAAATTCTTAATAGCAGCCATGCAAGGCAGAGTTGAACGCTCTAAAAAGGCTGGGTGTGGTGGTGCAGAATGTTAAGGGCCCACAAGTCCAAGGGCAGGATTTTAATACTGAATCTACCAATTGCAAAACAAGGATCTGAGCTAAGTAGCAAATTGGGGGACATTTTGGCTGTAACAAGTAAGAACAGCAAAGTGCACATACCTCAGAAGTAAAGGGCCCTATAAGGAGTACAGGGTAACTGTTTACATTGATTATAGGGAGAATACAGGCTCCGTTGGCCCAGTGGGTGGGATCTCAAAAGTCTAACATTGTGAAATTTGATTTGTACAAATTATCAGTTTCTTGTCAAAAACTCTTGGGTCCTGAGACTATGTTTCAGTAAGATCCAAAGCAGTCTGTCCTTAGGATTCCCCGACTGAATTTACTGCTGCCTCCCTTTCTTAGTCCCACAGTCCTTAATAAAACAAGTCGTCTTTCTTGTCCCGCTCATGCCTCTGTCCTACCCCACACCTCACCGTATGATCTCGTTCCACCACCAGCACCCGAATGGCACCCCGTTGCTTCTCCAATCTCTTCAGCCAATAGGCCACAGACAGGCCAAGCACTCCACCTCCCACAATCACCACGTCTGCCTGTTCGGGGGGCAGGTGGCCGGTGTCATTCAGCTGATCCCAGGTCCCTCCAGGCAGGATTGACTGGATCTTCTTCTTCATCTCAGAAATCTTTCCATGCCAATCTGTAGGCAGGAGTTACGGTCAAAGGGGCCACACCGCTCCCTGTGGTGGGGCGCTGGCGGTCGGCCCCCCACAGGGGAAAGTGCACGCATGCCAAAGAGTGAGCTGGCATCCTCACCATCATCCTGCTCACTGTTTCACTGTGTGGGTTAGACCATCCGTCTCTGCTTTCACGCATGCCACACAGCACTGCAAGACACAACTTCCTAACTCTATACTCTCTCCAAAGGCCAGAGGACTGAGCAGTTCTCTCTCTCCAGTCCACATGTATATAGTCAACTGGCTTGTCATCATCACTTGGATGAGCCAGACCCCAGGTTCAAGCAGCTTTGGCCTGGCCCAAACTGCAGCACCCTTTGCAGCACACACCACCACCACACCCACCCACATGACCCGTCTCCCATCCAGTCTAGATGACTCTGCCTCTAGTTTGTGAGTGCCTCCTAGCATCGCCCCAATCTCTGCCATGACCATGCTTCAGCAAGCCTCCTAAATCTCTCCTCTGACATCTTGTGCAAAAGCCTCCTAATGGTTCCCACTGACTCCTCTCTTGCCTACCCCATCTTCGTTTCTAATCTTGAACCTCACAACTAGAATGAGCTTTTCTCAATGTTGATTTTATCACATACCCTTTTGCTTAAAAACTCCCATTGACTTTCCATTACATGAAGATCCCCAAACTCCGCACAATCTGGCTTCTGTCCACTCTGCACCGGGTTCTGCTATTCCTTGTTTTCGCTAGGAAATTCACACATTTCTTCCCTGTTAGCATACTGTCTCCTTCTTTGTTAATGGTGTGCTCGGCTCAGGCATCATTTCCTCAGAGAAGACTTTCCTGAACCCTAGACTCCATCAGTTTATCACAGTCTCATAGTTCTGCTAACTTTCCTTTAGAACCTTCCTGCCAACTTTTGAGTTCATTTGCAATTGCCTCATATTGTGAGATCCACAAGGGCAGGAATCATGCCTACCTTTTCTAACCCCGAATCCCCAGCCTAGCACAGTATCTGACACATGCTACTTGATTACTACAAACCCAAACCAAGTTAATTGCTGTGAAGTCGATTCCAACTCAGAGTGACCCCATGTGTGTCACAGAAGTGTGTTTCATCGGATTTTCATTGGATGAGTTTGGGGTGGTAGATTTTTTTTTTTTAATTTTTCACAAATATTTATTGAAAAACTACAGAATTTAAGATTCTATGTCCAATGATTAGGGAGCCCTGGTAGGTTTTAAAAAAAATATTTTATTGGGGCTCATACAATTCTCATCACAATCCATACATACATCCATTATGTCAAACACATATGTACATTCGCTGCCCTCATCATTCTCAAAACATTTGCCCTCCACCTCAGCCCTTAATATCAATTGCTCATTTTCTCCCTCCCTCCCCACCCCCTTCCCTCATGAACCCTTCATAATTCACAGGTTATTATAGTTTTGTCATAAGTTACACTGTCCGACATCTCCCCCCACCCCCATCTTCTCTGCTGTCCTTCCCCCAGGGAGGAGGCAATACCTAGATTCTGTATAGGTTCTTTCTAACTTTAGTCTTAGAACTCCAACCAAAGGAATGGGTGGGGTCATGCAAATAAAGTATATGCAACCCTAACATGGGGATTGGTCAGTTTTGCCATCCCACTTGCCATCCTGATTGGTCAGTTCTGGCATCCTAGAAGGAGAAATAGGGACCTTGCTGACCATCAAGAAAGAAGAGTCAGGAGGGCAGTATGTACAGCCTCTGGACCCAGAGTTCCTGCACTGAGACACTCCTAGACTGAGGAGACAGAATCATTACCATCAAGGATGGTGAGAAACAGCTGCAGCAGGAAGGTGGTGGTAGCAGTAGCAGGAGACCAGTATAACCTGGCTTGCTGTCCTTTCTGGGTCCGTGGAGTGAGAGCTGAATGGCTTCGGGCAGAAAGCTAGCTGACAGAGTGGGGTGCTTGTGGGCAATTATTGTGAAAGCAGAGGTTGTGGCTTGCAGAGCTGAGAATCCAAGGGCCAGAGAGGCCTGCCTACAGGCACAACTGAAAAATATATGTCGTGACTCTGCACCCTGAATTGTAACTGGTTATTTCCCTAATAAAACCCACGATCCTAAGTATGGTCTGTGCATTCTGGGGCCATTACAACCAATTGTCGGACTTAGCAGAAAAGGAGCGTGTGTGTAGAAGGGGCAGTTAAAATGGTTGATGAGCAGAGGGAAGTCTGGCCGGTGCGCCCAAGGAGTCAGTCTGATGGAAGGTGCTGCCGATCCTCATGCCCTCCCTGCAACATTTGAGAAGCTCAGCTGTCCCTGCAACCACAAGTCTACACCTTTCTTTGGAGATGCCTTGGGATAGATTAAAATCACCAACTTGCTGGTTAGCAGCCAAGCCTGTGAATCATTCGTAACACCCTCCAAACCCAAACCACACTCACTGCCATTGAGTTGATTCTGATTCATAGCGATAGCGACCCTATAGGACAGGGTAAGTGCCCCTGTAGGTTTCCCAGACTAACTCTTTTTGAGAGCAGAAAGCCTCATGTAACACCACAGGACTCAATGAGTGTCTGGAACAAATTAATCTCTTTGTATGTCACACCTCACTTGATAATCTCCAAGCCCTCCATCTCGGATATACTGTCCAAACTCTTCTCAGCGGTATGTGAATCTTTCCTTGACCTGCTCTTACCTTACCTATTCACACTAGTTTTCATATGAATGCTCATACTCTGGCAGGTAGGTGGTTTGTGCTAACTTCTTATGTCTCCCCCTCAACACTGCTCCGTTCTCCACTGCCTCTCCCCACGCCCCCGTTATTCTGTAGTGAACTGAATCACAAAATGATCTGGGATTTGTCACCTGAGAAGGGCAGCATTCTTCAGTAGGCCCAGGCCCTACCTACATGCTCCAGTAGCTCAATTCTCACCCCTCTCTGCCAGCGGACCCTCTGGTCTTCCCAAGGTCGCGGGCCGAGGTCCCTTCCCCAGGTCATGCTACCCCTGCAGTTCTCAACTTTACCCAGAGTGGAGGCTCCTCTGCGCGTGCCGAACCACCGGGCCAAGAGACCCTGGCACAAGCCGAACCGCAGCGCCCTCAGAGGCATGGCACTGACTTGCGTGCAAGGAAGGCTTTGCGCGAAGAACCCAGCTCCGGAGACGTCATCGCCTCGCGCCTAGGGCGCTGCACGAAGGCGCGCTGATTGGCCGGCGGCTATGCAGTTTCTTGTTTGTTCCCCCGACCCACGCCCCTCAACGCTAGTGGCCTCCGTGTTCTCGCGATTGAGCCGACGTCGGCCCAGGCCCGGCCCTCCCTTACCATTGGCTCGCCTGGTGGTTACGTCAGACTCGCGTGACTACCGGAGGCTTCGGCGAGGGAACCAGCTGGGCGGGACAGAGCCCTTGGCTCTGAGCGGAAGTGCGGCTGAGCTGGTTTCCGGGACCGCTGGTGTGACGTGTCCCGCGCCTGGCGCAGCAGGAAGCCGTGGTGATCCTGGCCTGAGTTTGCGGCGCCGGCTCTCCTGCTGCTGCCGCCGCCGCCATGCTCGACTTTTTCACCATTTTCTCCAAAGGGGGGCTTGTGCTCTGGTGCTTCCAGGGTGTGAGTGATTCATGCACCGGGCCCGTTAACGCGCTGATTCGTTCCGTGCTGCTGCAGGTACTGCCCCCGCGGGATCCGAACTCTGGGCTCTCCCTCTCAGAGCCCCCTGCCCTTCGTCCCCTACGACCAAGCCGCGCCTTATTCCCACCCTCACCCATCTCACACTGACCACTCACCGATGTTCGGGACTCCGCCCTCTCCTGTCTCTGTACTTCAGATTATCCCTAACATCGGGATGCCCACACCCCTCCAGTTTCTGGGACTCCAGACTCAGCGTGATTCCTGCCCCTCCGGTCCCCCCACCCCTACCCCCGCTGATTTCCTCCCCCTTCCGTGTAGCCTCAGCATCTTAGTTTTGGTGTTTTGAAGGGTGGATGAGAGGATGGAAACTTAAAGTGTAAACGTAAACCGCTGCTAGTACATTTGATGTGAAGACCTTTTTCCCTTATGGCTCCCACCTATCTGGACTTAACCCCTATCCCTTCCCTCTAGTTTGTTTTGTCATTTCCACTCCCTATCCCTTCCCTCTAGTTTGTTTTGTCATTTCCACTCCAGGGGAATGGTTTGGAGAACCCCAGCATCTCCCTTGTCTTGTGGACAGGTGTGACTTAGGGGGAAATCTCTGGTTCTTTCCCAAAGGTGACACTAGAGGAGCCCGGGTGTGGGTCTTCCAGGGGATAATGTGAACTCTGGGGCGTCATTCTTTTCCAGGAACGGGGAGGTAACAACTCCTTCACCCATGAGGCACTCACGCTCAAGTATAAGCTGGACAACCAATTTGAGCTGGTGTTTGTGGTAAGTGGGGGTATTTTCAAGGGACGGTTACACTCTCAATATATCCCCGATTACTAAAAGAACCCAGGTTAATTGTACTAGGCATATATTGAGAAATAACTGAGAACACTAAGGTGGAGGGGGAGAAACTCTAGGCTTAGTCAGAGTTTGGCTGCTCCCCAGCCCCGGGAATCCTGCCAGGTGGCGGAGCCATCTCCAGAGGCCTGGCTAGAGCTGGTTTCTGCCCTTGCTTTAAGCACATCTGCTGGCTCTGCTTCTTCCCCAAACAGGTTGGCTTTCAGAAGATCCTTACACTGACCTATGTGGACAAATTGATAGATGATGTGCACCGGCTGTTTCGGGACAAGTACCGCACAGAGATCCAACAGCAGAGTGCTTTAAGTCTACTAAATGGCACCTTTGACTTTCAAAATGACTTCCTGCGGCTTCTTCGGTGAGAAATCTCTTAAGGGTTGTTATTGTGTGAAAGGTACTCCTAAATGTGCTGCCACACACCATCAGTTCTTGGTAGGAGGGTCCCTTCTTTGGGCTTTGATGTTTCTACTTGCATAGGTTAGAAAGACCTGTGAGTCTCTTTTTCTCTTCAGCGATGCCGAGGAGAGCAGTAAGTTCCGCGCTCCTACTACCATGAAGAAATTTGAAGATTCTGAAAAGGCCAAGAAACCCGCGAAGTCCTTGATTGAGAACCGTGTGGAAAAGCAGAAAGAAAAAGCAAAGAACAGCAAAAAAAGGGGGGGCAAGAAGGAAGGTGAGTTTAGATTCCTTGGAGACAATAGGATTTGGAAAGGTAATCAGTGCTAAGGCTTTACTTTGAGTTTCTACTCAGGGGTTTGGACATATTTTTCCATTGTCTATTTTGTTGGGAATTGGTTCTTTTTTTCCCCAACAGGTTCTGATAGCAACACTTTGGCTACCAACAAAGCTGTCTCCGCAGAAAAGTCAGGTCTCCCAGTGGGTGCTGAGAATGGGGTGGAACTTTCCAAAGAAGAGTTGGTTCGCAGGAAGCGAGAGGAGTTCATGCAGAAGCATGCAAAGGGTATAGAGAAGTCCAGGTGAGCATATTCTGGTTTTCTTCACAACCTCCTGTTGTTTCTAGCCATTCAGGAACATAGTTCTTGTGTCTGGTTCATGGCTAGAGGTCATACTTTTACCATAACCCTTTGCAGCAAGTCCTTGAAGTCAGATGCTCCAAAGGAGAAAGGCAAAAAGGCGCCCCGGGTGTGGCCATTGGGTGGCTCTGCCAATGAGGAAGTCTTGGATTATAGCACTCCCACCACCAACGGAACTCCTGAGGTTGCCCTTACTGAGGACATCAACTTGGTAAGAAGCAACGGGGCAGAGTGAAGGTTACCAGTAACAAGAAATTGATGCGTAACTAGAGACCGCTGGGGCAGTAACTAAGAAGTCCTAGTGAAGTGGTGTTGAAGGCTGTGGGCAGCCAACTGGAGGATGAGTGGTTTGACACTACTCATTCTGCGGGAGAAAGACATGGTTATCTGCGCCTATAAAAATTTCAACCAAGAAACCCGAGGGGGCAGCTGTGCTCTTTCACACGGGTCCCTGTATGTCACAGTTGACTTGACAGCATTTGTATGACCGGGTGAGTTCCATCGAGAGGGTCCCTCAAGGTCAAGAGCCAAGGAAGTGTGGGTGGGTAAACCCTGGGCCTTTTGTCCTCAGAGCCCTTACTATTCCTGGCCCCAAATCCCTCCAGATTCGAGGGACTGGGCCTGGGGGGCAGCTTCAAGATCTGGACTGCAGCTCAGATGATGATGAAGCCTCTCAAACCACCACTAAACCTAGGTAGGGGTATTTTAGATGAGGGTGGGGTGGGATGTGTGGCCCAAGATGTGATGCTATCTGACCCCGCCTGCTGGTTGTGTGTGCGCCTGCAGTACTACAAAGGGAACTCTGGGTGGCATGTTTGGAATGCTGAAGGGCCTTGTGGGTTCCAAGAGCTTGAGTCGTGAAGACATGGAATCTGTGCTGGAAAAGATGCGCGATCATCTCATTGGTAAGTTCGAGGTACTGGGACGCAGCCGTTTATTGGGGCAGTAGTAGTTTGGAGGGTTGACATGACATTCACGAACCTGTCTCCTCTGTCTAGCTAAGAATGTGGCGGCTGACATTGCAGTCCAGCTCTGTGAATCTGTTGCCAACAAGTTGGAAGGGAAGGTGATGGGGACCTTCAGTAGTAAGTCTCCCTAAATTGGACAGCTCTTAGGGGGTGGTGCATTCTGAGAGGGTAAGAGCATAAGCCTCCATTCTGTGTTCAAGTGTTAAGAACAATAACAGCCTAGATTCCAAGGACCAAAATCCTAGTACCATCGGATCCTATCTTCTCTGCTCAGAAGGGTGTTGAGCATTCTTGGAGCACCGTCCTTTGGATTGATACATGGGTGTCCCTCCCCTGCAGCCGTCACTTCTACAGTAAAGCAAGCTCTTCAGGAGTCCCTGGTGCAGATTTTGCAGCCACAGCGTCGTGTGGACATGCTTCGGGACATCATGGATGCCCAGCGTCGCCACCGCCCATATGTTGTCACCTTCTGTGGTGTTAATGGAGTGGGGAAATCTACTAATCTTGCCAAGGTCGGTGTGGGTCCCCAGCCTGCCTTTGATACTGCTCCTTCACTCCCAGTGTCTGAGTAACCCTGGTTCTGTGTGGCGGTTTCTCCACCTCTTTTGCAGATTTCCTTCTGGTTGTTAGAGAATGGCTTCAGCGTCCTCATTGCTGCCTGCGACACATTTCGTGCTGGGGCTGTGGAACAACTGCGCACACACACTCGCCGCTTGAGTGCCCTGCACCCACCCGAGAAGCATCATGGCCGCACGATGGTGCAGTTGTTTGAAAAGGGCTATGGCAAGGATGCTGCCGGCATTGCTATGGAAGCTATTGCCTTTGGTACAGTGCAGGGAAGCACAAAGGGATGGGGGCTTATCTGGGCTTGGGTTCTCTTGGAATTTGCAGGGGGTCAAGGTTACCATATTCTGCACTTACCCTGTTCAAGTCATTCCACCAGAGAAACCTGAATTTGCTGATTTTTACTGGCCCTATTTTCAACTTTTTCTTACTATGTTTGGGGGATAGGTTTTGTTTTTTGTTTTACTTCGCGTTACCTTGTAGCCAAATCCAGAACCCAGAGAAGTGGCGGACAGGCTTTTAATTTGCCCAGGCTAGGAAACGGACTGTGTGTGTGTGATTGATGTTGAGCTGACATTTTTTTTGTCTTTTTTCCCCTCCTCCTAGCACGTAACCAAGGCTTTGATGTGGTGCTGGTGGACACAGCTGGCCGCATGCAAGACAATGCTCCCCTGATGACTGCCCTGGCCAAACTGATTACCGTCAATACACCTGATTTGGTGCTGTTTGTGGGGGAGGCCTTAGTAGGCAATGAGGCTGTGGATCAGCTGGTGAGGGGTAGGGCCTAGCTCCCTTGCCAAGCTCCGCTCTAGTGCTATCGTTTGGTGGCTCTTAAATCACCCTTTCCTCCTTTCCAGGTCAAGTTCAACAGAGCCTTGGCTGACCATTCCATGGCTCAAACACCTCGTCTCATCGATGGCATTGTCCTTACCAAATTTGATACCATTGATGACAAGGTAAATGTGGAAAAGGGGCTCAGGACAAAGTGAGCTGGGGAGGGGATGCCAGTGTTAGCCCTCCATGGGGAAGTTGTGTTTGTGAGAAAGCGTCCCAGGAAAGTGAGCTGATTGGGTGTCTCATTTCTGTACGTAGGTGGGAGCTGCTATTTCTATGACGTACATCACAAGCAAACCCATCGTCTTTGTGGGTACTGGCCAGACTTACTGTGACCTACGCAGTCTCAACGCCAAGGCTGTGGTGGCTGCTCTCATGAAGGCTTAGCGTGGCTCTTGCCCAATACCAAATTGCCGCTTCCCCCCCAAGCCCCTATTCCTGTTTTCAAAAATGTGCTTTGGAGTATGTGAGCAACTTGTCTTCAGTGTAGTAAAGACAGAGGAAGAGCTCCAGGGCCTTGCAGCTCCTTCTAACCCCACTTCCTGCCCAGCCTCTGCAAGGAAGGAGAGCCTAATCATGTTACAATCACTGCCCACTGATACCCAACCCCATGGTACTCCAACTTCCTACTCAGGCATCCCCTCCACTGCCTCCAGACTCAGTCTCTTTACAGCTTTGACCAATTGTTAGAAGACCCAATACGAGAGCTCTGCAATGCGAGTGACACCTCATGGATTTGGGGAGCCGGCTCTGGTGGGTCTAGAATACATAGCTTTCAGGTCCCTGGGGCCAGGATGACAGCCACTCCCACTGTGGCAGTGTATGGCTTGTTCTTCATTGCTGCTAATTCTGATGAATGCCACCCCACTATTTCCCCAAACCATCAGTTAGGCCAGGGTGATGTGTTGCAAATGAGAGAGATGAGTCCCCGATTCCCGCAGAAATAAAGGGAGCCAAATTGCAGTGTTGCATTGGGCTTCTCAGCCCCACTCTCTCCCACTTCGAAAATACAGATGTAAGCTTTGCATGTTCCCTTTCCTGGGAGAAAATGGTCAGAAAGGTATCCGTTGCCCCACCTTTCCTCTCCTGAGTAGATCCTGGCTTTTCCTCACTACTCTACAGTGCCTGGTAGACAAGTGCTAAGTTGAAGACCACGACCCACTTGTTCAGACTTATAGCTTGGTATTACAGATGTGCTATTAGTGCAATAGGGTGAAGGCTGTCTACCCAGAGAAATACATAATTTATATAGGAAAATAAATTTCATAAATAAATTGCCTTTTAGGTCTTGGAATTATTTTACAAAAGGAAATCTCACAGCACATTGCTCTGGTCCAGGGTGGTTGGTAAGAAAGGAAGATGAAAAAATTGATAACGCTTCTAGAAGTCATATAAAAGTTAACAACTGTCCTGAAAATGAGATGTCACACCAAGATGAGAATCAGGATTGTTAGGCAAATTATGATTTTTCTAAAGTAACTTTAAAATGGAGCCACGACCCTGGAATGTAAATGAACAGGCTTTTAATACCGCTTAGTTATGTAAAATACTGTAAAAGACCTAGAAAACTAGAGCTTCAAGTCATGTTTTAAAAAAATCCATTACGCTTAATTGAAAAACCAAGTATGGAGTATAAAATTGCAACAAGGGCCACAGAGACTCTGTGGCTTCTAGGTCCCCAGGTCCTTCATGCAGAGCTGCAGCCACAAGCAATGGAAGATCACACTGGCCAGCTGCATGGGCGCAAGCACGTCTTGCCTGGGAGGGCCTGCGATCTCAGGCATTCTTGAACCGGAACAGGCAGCAGAATATCCAGAACCAGCCAGCACAAAAGATTAAGTTGGAACATTTCCCCCCCACCCTGCTGCTCTACCCCCAACCTTCAACTTCTGGGTTTTGGTACTCCTTGGTGGGCTCTTCTAAGTTTACTTGTTAAACACTGTCCACAGTGGGGCCTCACAGCTTGGTCTAATGGTGATCTCGGTAGCCCTCTCAAGTACTACTACCTGTGGAGGAAGAGAAAAGGTAGAGGATGAAATGAAACTTCACAAAATGGATTAAGATAGCCAAGGCTGACATCTTTAAATTAAAAATAAAACTAGGCATTTTTAATACACTCAATAGGAAAGTACAGAAACCTTGACAGAGGTCAGTCAGCTCCACAGTCATGAAGACATGTTCTGATTATGAATCGAGTAGGAAACAGCATACCTCTTGTGTCACTGTGCGCTGCCGATGAGCCATTGAGCTGACCGTCTCTCACCATTCCTGCCCAAAAAGGTATATCAGTATTAGGATTAAACGGATAAACTACAGGTGTTAATAGCAAAGCACCCAATTAAAGGAAGACAACACGTGGTATGGTTAGGATGTCATTACTTTGCATTCTAGGAGAGGGGGAAAATTAAAACCTTATGTCCACCAAATTGATTCTGACTCAGTGACCCTATATGATAGAGTAGAACTGCCCCTGTGGATTTCCAACATTACCTATGGCAATAGAGAGCCTCACCTTTGAGGAGCGACTAGTGGTTTCAAACCACTCACCTTATGGTTAGGAGCTCAACACAACCCACTCATTATGCCACCAGTGGTATGGCTTACAAAGGGTGGAACAGATTATCTTTCAGAGTGTTGTGTTAACAGGGAAGCAGTAAGGTCTCCTAATGTACCGATTGCTTATAGACACATAATTTTATATGGGCTGTGTTCGTGGTTTCTAACCAGTCTCAAAGGTCAGGTTTAGGTTAAAAATGCTCGTGAGGAAATACAACTAAGTCAAATGGGTTTGATTAGCACAACTCAAGAACTACATGTGGCTATTTAATTTTAAATATTAAAAATTCAATTTCTTAATCACACTGGCCACCTTCAAGAGCTCAACTGCTATATATAGCTTTCAGCTTGGGTCTTCACTGGACAGTGAAGATGATGGAATACTTCTGTCACTACAGAAGATTCTATTGGGATACATGATGACATAAGGAATGTATAAAAGGGAACACATCCAAGAAAAGAGTAATGAGAAATATGGAGAATTATATGCACCAAATTAAAGACCACCAAAATACATTAATCAAATTCTTACAGAAATGAGACAAATAGGTCATAATACTAGACTATCACTTTCTACTAAAAATTGATCAACTAGAATGAAAACAAAGATACAAAAAAAAATCAACTTGATCTCATAGGTGGATATAGAACACATCACCCAATAAAAATTCATTTCACTTTGCCCTCTAACACCCAGTAGCTGCTCTAGAATAGATCATATTTTAGGACATAAAGCAAGCAACAATAAATTTTAAGAAACGTTGGGATAATACAAACCATCTTTTCAGATCATAATGCCATAATATTAAAAATCAACCATCATACATAACACCAAAAAACAATCAAATATATGGAAACTTAAGAACCACTGGGTAATTGAAGAAATAAAAAAGATTCCTTGAAACAAATGAACACAAATACAACTTATCAAAAGCTTGGGACCCAGCAAAAGCAGCACTTGGCAGTTTATAGCAATAGCTGCACACCCAGTGAGGTCGAAAGAACTAAGCACCTTAACACAACTCCTGTAACAAGTGGAAAGAGTACAGCAAAACCATCAGATGCTGAAATAAAAAATTAGGGCAGAAATGAATGAATCGGAAAATAAATGTGAACAGATCAATAAGACAAGAAATTGGCTATTTGAAAAAATTCGCAAAATTGATAAATCATTGGGAAACCTAACCAAAGAATGAGAAAAATTCTATGAATAAGAAATAAAATGGATATGAGAACCAAATGAGATGAAAGAATCACACAAGTATGATAGTGACATTACCCATCACAGGACATAACAACTCAAGAGCTGTGGCTCTCTGATCCCTTAAACTCAAAATATGTCTTACCTGATCTACCCCTTGTAGAGATCTCACAGGTTAATCGTTTAAAATATTCGGGAAGATCAGCATATTCATTTCCATAGGAGATAACTTTAATCCCTTTATCCAGCATGTTCTCTCGAAGCTTCTTGAACTCATCTACGTCTCCTCTCCGAACCAGCATAAAATGTTCTAAGTCAGATTTATGTTTGACAGCCTCCAGGAAAAGGGCTTGGAAAGTGGTGTCATCTACTGTCCAGCCACAACCCAGGAAAAGAAATGACTTATTTTCGTAGAGTTTCTGAATCTCTCTCTTAAAGGAAAAGAAAACATGAATGACACTGTGACACACTGAAGAGATGTCTGAAACATTATAACCTCAACAGAGGATTGTAACTCACATTTAGACTGTGAAGACCAATTAACCAAGACAGAATCCCATAGTTAAAATTGTAGCTATATTCTTTTTTTTTTTAATCAGTTTATTGGGACCTAGACATATCATCCCTTCCATGTGGCCCTTCTGTGAGGGACTTTCCAATTATCTTATAGGTGAGTTTTGGCTCTCCACCTTGTCCACACTCCACCACATCGATTTTATAACTTGCTTTTGAACTTCTAATGCATACTCCCATTGACACCTCATGAACACACAAGCGTGCTTCTTCCATGTGGGCTTTGTTGCTTTCCTGATAGATGGCCGCTTGTTTAATGTCAAGCCGTTATGACCCTAGACTCTATCTTTTAATAGCCAGGCACCATCAGCTTTCTTCACTTCATTTGCTTATGTACCTATTTTGTCTTCAGCGATCATGTTGCTGAAGTGCCACATTATTGGAACCATTCTTGTACTGCAGTAAGATTTGAGTAGAAATCCAAAGTCCAGTTGAGTAGCTATATTCTTTGAAGGTCATATCTTGATCTGCTTGCTAATTACTATAAACTAGTAACTAGTCTACACCTTTATCTGGGATTCTTCTGTAGGTTCTCTAATGAGGGTTTCATCGATATTAACCTGGTCTGCTGACCTTATAGAATAGAGATAGATATATTGTGTGTATATATGTTCACACACCCAAAAGGCCTTTAGACACTCAATAGATCTTTTAATAGATCTTATTCTTTCCATTTTCTGGGTCATGTTTGCCTTTTATACCTTACAAACTGAATGAATCATGCACCACCACAGAAAACAAATCTACCACATTTGCTCAAGAAAGTCCAATACTTAAATCATCAATGTGTGTGTACCTAAGAGTCAATAAGCTTTGCAACAAAATACTAAACCTTTATTAAACAAAAATACCAAGATGCTAAGCTATTGCTTCTCAACATATCCTTCTTTAAGTCTATACGTTTCTGAAACTGAAGCTTCCATCTCTCTAACCCTTCTATGAATTCTGCACTTTTTGAATTACACTACATCAAAATAATAATTTTAGCATCCCTCGAAGGCTTAAATTGTGTTCCTTTGAAATGTTGGATTTGGTAACAAGAGAAGCCTCAAGAGACAAGATTAGGGCTGTAGGGTGAATGGAATAAGGTTTCCCATGGAGATCCTTGTTGGGCAGTCCCTGCTACTTTTGAAAAATGAGCAGGTGCATTGTCATAGTGGGGGGAAAATTGCTTGGTGTAACTTTCTTGGCTTTTCTCATCAGTGCAGTTTTTCAGTTTCTTAAACCTTCTTTATATGAAGACTCTGTGATTGCTTTTGTCTTTCAAGAAAATCCATCAAGATTTTCACAATCTATCACTTTTGGAATCTCAAGACAGAGTTGCCATAACCTTCTGATCTCTGTGCTGAAATGTAACTGGCACCCTAATGAGACTAAGACAAGTGTATTACTGAGAGAATTTGTCTGCAGCCATCCACAGATCACAGAGGAATGTTTAAGCATGGACTAACCCATGCACCTATCACCTGGAACTCTAGTAGCAAAATATTTTCGGACTCAGCCTCATATATACAGTAGATCATGATTTGTGTGTTCCATAGCTTTGAGTTTACTCTCTTTCTAAAAATTTATTTGTAATCATTAAATTGATCATTATGGCAATTTCATGGTTATTTGTGGACATACACAGAGCCATCACTAGCACTGCTCAGGTTGCTAGTGATGTTCTACCTTCTTTCAGCTTTCACACTGCAAACAAGTGTCCTTTTAATGATTTATAAGTACCATGTTTTTGCATTTTTGTGATTTGGGGGTGATGGTAGTGTGTGACTGTTTAGAATGGTCCCCAAACAGTGTTCAAGTGCCATCTAGTACTCCTGAGTCCACGAGACCTGTGCCTTCCAGGGGGGCGGGGAGGAATGTGTTAGATAACCTTTGTTCACATATGACGTACAGTGCTGCTGCCTGAGAGTTCCATGTGAATCAGTTAACATTATATACTAGAAAGGTGCCTTTTTTTTTTTAAAGAAAGGTGTCTTTAAGCAAAGTACACACAAGGCTATGTACTGCTCGGTTGATGAACAGACCAGAGACCTGCAGGGACCCAATCCTGAATTTCCCCTGGAGCAATAGTTAATGGTCCAGTGCTCACTAATTAACTGTGTGTGGTGGCTTTATGGTTCATAATTATCACAAATAATGGCAATGGACTGTATTCTCATTGTTAAAAACTTTAGATGTGATCTTGCTTGAGGGATCCATGAATGTAAGTGATGAATGTAGTAACAGGAGATATTACAGGAAGAAAAACCTCTACACTTGATAGAATATCACATTCCCTTGATTTATTAAGATAAAAAAACAAATATAAGAAAAAAAAAAGCTACACATTACGTGGCTTGGTGCTGAAAGCAATCAGTATACACACTATTCTCAGAGTCAGAGGTCAGTGTGTGCATATGCATGTCCATCTAAAAGATCGGAGTTTTTTTCAAAAAGAACCTTTATTTTATGAAGTCTGTTTATGAACAGTCTGAATAAAAAATTTCCCTTGAGCAATAAATGTTTGTTAATAAAATCCCATTTTTATTCGCAAGATGCCGCTTTTGAATGTGTGTTTTAGTAACGGTTGATCAGTAAAAAGCTGCTCAAATAATTTTTAGGACATTGTATGCCATTTGAGTTGATTCTGACTCGCATCATCCTGTTAGAACCAAGAAGAGATGCAACACAGAATTTCCCAGACTGGAATCCTGTCAGGAGCTGGTGGCCATGTCTTTGCTCCAGCAGAGCCCTCTGGGTGGTTTGAACTGCTCACCCAGTGCTTAGCCATGAATCCAGCAAACAACAAGGACAAGTGGTAATGTGCTCTTGGACCTGCTGCTTGTCAGTCAAGTGGAAGTTAAACCATAAGGCTGGAAACCTTAAGAGACACGCTTGCATTTTCTATGATGGCATGGATATCCACAGGCAACAAAGAATGTGTAAGCTTCCCATATTTAATTAATGCACGAATGTCTTTCCCCTTAAGACCTATGACCTTTAAAGGGGGTTCCCAGGAAAGACTTCCCGAGACCACTCACCATAACTTCAGTGTTCCTGAGCACATTCTGATATCCAGCTGGGTGCAGAACAATGCCACTAGGGTTGGTGTAGACACCATGGATGTGTAAAACGCTCAGCTTCCTCTTTTCCTGAGCCCACTCGAGGACCTGCATGACACAAACACAGCTCACCATCCTTGACTTCAAGGTCACAAAGGACAAGAGGCTACTTTGGAGAAATAGTCTTTTTAAAAAAAAGGAGTTTTATTGGCATACACTTCACATATCATATAATTTAATCATTAAATCATATTAAGAAGATTTATGCAATCGTCACCACAATTAATTTGAGGACATTTTCTTCTCATACTCGTCGTTTGCACCCCATTTCCCCCCATCAATCCCTGCTGCCCCCCTATCCAGTTACTGTCTCTACAGAGCTACCCATCCTGGATTTTACATACAGAAAACCATACAAACCAAACACAATCATACTAAATCATACAAAGCAACAAAATCCCAACAATGACTACATAAAACATACAAAAACCTCAATTAAAGATGAATTGGAAAATATTAAAAACTGATACAATATTAAAGTCGGTCATATGACAGGGTATTAGATTTCAACCTAACTACATCTGCAATCATCGACTTTACAATGCTGTCATTTCAAACTATTCACATTTCTAGGTTATTCACAACCCTTGACGATGGGAGAGGCAATTCACTGAAAGCTTAATTCATGTGGGGATCCTGCAAATGGATTTGGGGCTTCTACTGTCATCCATAGCCTTCTGCAAACTGGTATTCACAATTGAAACTCTGACATGATTCCCTCCTTTGGATTTGGGTTTTATAATTTACAATCCTGGGATCACATAGGCTAGTGTGCTTCTTCCACGTGGACTCACTGACACCTTACTTAGATGGGTGTTTGTTTGAAAGCAAGCACTTAAGACTCCAGACTATTCTATCAGCTGCTGGGTACCATTTGCTTTCTTCACCACACTTTGCTTTAGCGCCCTTATCTTCAGTGATTTCTTCATGAGGGTGAGCATCGAGTAGGGTCATGTCATAAGAACGAATTGTTCTTAGATTGGGGCTAGAAATCCATTCATGTATCTACGGCTTATATATGTCTCCTGGTTCACTTTGGAGACATCATCATTTATGATAAAGAACATTAGACATCAATCCCCTTGGGGCATAAGGTAAACTCTATTGATAGTGTCATTAATTTAGCCAATAGTATAGAATTTCTAGAAAACTGTTGAAAAAAGGAAACTATGAAAGTATAGGTCAGATAGCAGTACATGAATTGTTGACTTGTACAGATTAAACTATTAAGTGACTGGCCACTATTTATACCAACAGTGGGGGGGTAAAACTAGTCTTTTGACCTAACTCCCTGACTTTATAATATCAGGCCAACATACAAAAACGGAGTGACCCAAGTTCCCACTGTAGGAAGGTTAGTGTTTCTCTATAAGGACTCTGGGCCTGGCCACAGGACTCACAGTCAGTGCAACATGAGTAAACACAACAAAAATAGCTGCCTTACAATGGATGGATGGATGGACTGTGCTAAGAGCTGTTCAATCCCCAATAAAATGATTAAATTAAAAAAAAGCAGCCTTGACTGTAGTGTGCTAGAGACCCATGTCCTAGCCAAACAAACATGTGGGTGAGACCATTTAATATCACCTATGCCTGGTCCAGCAGCTGATTGTAGCCAGAGAAAAAGTGCCCACCACATCCAACTCAAATGGCCAGTTCACATTATCAGGAGCAAATAAAATGCCTGCTGTTTTACACTGTTATGTCTCTGGGTAATTTCACATTGCAGCAATGCTGTTGTTTGTTGGCATTGAACAGTCTGACTCGTGGCCACCCTGTCTATAACAAAGCAAGAGGCTGTCCAGGCCTGCACCAGCCCCATGAGTTGTGGTTCACAACACTGAACCACAGGAGAGTTTTCACTGGCTGATTTTTGGAAATAGATCATAGGCCCACCTTTCTCAATTCATCTTTAATCAGGAAGCTCTGCTGAAATCTGTTCAGTATCATAGCAACGCAGAAGTCTCCAGTGATAGATGGATAAAATAAATCCTTCGGTCACCTTTGAGTTACCTATAGAGTTACCCAATGAATAACTACCCTTTAGATGACAGTGACAAAACTAGCCATCAGGAATCCACCTGGATCCGTTTCTCCAAGAACTTAATGCAAGTATAAATTTACTTTTATAATGCCCTGAAGAAATATGGAATGGAATAAGAAAAATAGCCAAGAAACATTTAGAACTTGAGAATTGTTAGGTTCCCTTCTAACTACCAGTTGGTGGCTTTAAACACTATCCATACTATGAGCTAAACTACAAAGGCAATCTTGAGACTAAAGGATGAGAAAGAACACATGTAGTTTGAGGGAGATCCTTAGTGCTGAAAAGGTCCTAAGATCATGGATACTCATTGGTGACCTCTGGAAATTCCAACAAAAATGCATACGAACTGTTCTAGCTACTCATTCCTGAACTACATTTAATGATTTGTTAGTTCAAAAAAATATTTCTCATGCACATATTATAAGCAAGTAAAAAAGCATTGCTGCTAGGGTTCCAGTATATGCAAGCATGGGCTTACTTAATCCAGACAAAATGTGTCTGCAATCAATGAGAGCTACAGACAAGTTTCTGCAGTACGTGGACAGCTGCAGACAAGTTCTCAGTAGTACACCTGTCTGCCAGGCCAGCTAAATTCAAGTTAGAGAGTTCAATGCAGTAGGTTATAGCGTTTTTATTGTAAAGGGTAATTTTTGGATAGATTTTCTTGAAGGACTCCGGATGGTGACAGGAGCTCATTATGAAAGCTTTAAGAAAAGGGAGAACTTCACTGGTGAGAACAAGGCCAGGGAAGGTACGGCTAGGCATTTTCTTCCAGCGTGATGATGCACCTGCTCATTCTTCAAGGTTTGCACAAGACGTCTCATGAGAATTTCCTCAGGAAACCTTATCCCTTCCAACCTACAGCACTGATTTTGCCCCTTGCAACTTGTGTCTTTGTCAAAGAATACTTAACACAAACTGAGACCCCAGATGACATCGAAGCTGCAGTTTTGATGGACTGTAAATAGAACCGGGTAGAATTCTTTGGGGAAGGGTTGGAAAGATGAATGATGTCTTCAGAAGTGTATAGATCTGGTGGCAGATATGTTGAGAACCAAGAATTTCACGTTTTGATATACTGTTTATAAAAGTTGCATGGATTCTGTGGCAAAAATTATTAACTTACCCTTGTATAGCAGGTACTATTTAAGACATCTATGATAACACAGGTAAGAAATGCTGAAGGTCAAAACACAAATAGATGAGAATAAAACCCAAGTTGTAGGAACTATTATTAAAGAACCGGGCAAAGGAAGGAATAAAAATTCAGCACGTGTCTCTTCTTTAAATGACCGCTTGGAGGAGTGAAAGAGGTACTGTTTCAGCTGAGACTTCAGGGTGAGAAGCAGCAGACCACAGGCACAGGAGGGGAATGACAGGAAACATTCCAACCCGAGAAAACCACTTATTCAAATTTGATTTTCCTCCATTTAAAATCCTGGTATCTAAGTCGGTGAAGCCAGAGGATTGGTATCACAGCTACTGCTCTGTGGTAATGAATGTCAGTGCTAACCACTTCCCTATTCAAACTCTATTTAGTTGTGCTATAAATTAGACATAAAGATAACTTCTTGAGAAAAGCAAAGTACCAAAGGAATATTACAAAAAGCACCAAACCAAAAACTCACTGTCATAAAGTAGGTTCTGACTCATGGCCATCCTATTGGACAGAGTAGCTCTCCCCCCGTGAGTTTCTGAGACTGGAACTCTTTACAGGAGTAGAGAGTCCCATCTTTCTCCCTTAGAGCAATTGGTGGTTTCGAACTGCTGACCTTGTGCTTGAAAGCCCAACGGGTAACCACTATGTACTGTGGCTCCTTTATAAAAGGCACAGAGCATGAGAAATGACATTTTAAATATTCATCCAATTAGTTCATTGCATTTACCTATATCCATATTTCAGTAGTATAGCAGATCTTAGATATGGGTTACATTTAAAAACCAAAAAGTCTGCTGATAATTCCACTGCATACTCACCTCAATTTAGCATTCAATTGGCCTTGAAATCCTAGAACGTTGCTTTTTCCGGCAGTATAAAGTAGCTTTCATACATTTCTAATAGATGATATCACAACACACACACATCCTAGGCAAGAATTATAAATCATACTATACTCACCTGATGACTATCACATGTTACAGAGATTTTATAGCTCAAATGACTTCTTGTAATCTTCCTTTATGCCAGGTAGTTAGCAAAACTCATAGAACTGAACATTTTAAAGATCTCTTCATTTTACTGTACATCAATAATCTTTAAAATAAAACCACCACATACAGATATATGAATCTTCCTTTTTAGAGCTCCATAAAAATACTATACAATATACCAACTAGAAAACAGATATTCTGATGAAGAGAGAGCTCATTTCCCTGAGGAGACTAATGCTCTTGTTTTTTTTCCTTTTACCTTTTTCTCATCAGTAAGGTCTAGGGATTCAAGTTGTTTTCCCTGATCTGCTGCATAGAGTTCCAGGAGATTATCAAAATTTGTAGTTAGTACGAGGGCTCCATTTTCCATGAGGTGGAGAACTGACTGAAGTAGCTGTTTTCCAGAATCTTCCATCTTTGACTCCAAGTCATCAAATACTTCATATAAACAGTCCTTGAAAAATGTGGATCGAACATTACTGGTACGCTGGAAAGGAATTTGAAAGAGGAAAATTAATTCAATATGCCTTGCTAGGTTATTTGTTTTAATAATAGTAATACTAAACTCTTAAAGAATACATATTTAAAATATATATTTTAGACACTAGTGATAAGAAAGGTTAAGAAAGGCTGACAGTCAAAACACAAAATAGATGAGACTAAAATGGCAAGTTGTAGTAGCTACTATTAAGGAAATGGCCTGAAGAATGAACAAAAATTAAGCATGTGGCTATTAAATAAAATATATATGTTAGCATTGGGGAGAATATTAGGGGGAAAATATTAGTGTTGTAATAAGAAAAATGGGAATGATACATGTGATGTTCTAAGCATAGTGTCTGCCTCACACATAAGGACATGCTATCACATCATACACATGCACACAGCATAAACTCTCCAAGTAGGCATATTTATAAAGTAAAGGAAAACAGATCTGGCAAAGATAAGGTGAATTAGTACCAGGACAACAAACCAGGCAGTGGGGGTGAAAAGCAAAGGTGCTACTAGTTGCCGTCAGGCTGATTACTACAGAACTATGCTCCATAGGTTTTCAATGACGGACCTCTCAGAAACAAACCACCACGTCTTTCTTCCAAGGCACCTAGTGGGTCTGCCTAACCATTAAGTAAATCCTCACACGCTTAACCGTTTGTACCACAAAGGGACAAAGTAGTTGATGTTCAGCGCTGTTGAGTCAGTTCCAACTCAAAGCTATCCCAATGTACAACAGTATGAAACACTTCCTGGTCCTGCACCATCTTCACAACTGTTGTTGGTGTGAGTCCACTATTGCAGCCACTATGTCAATCCGTCTTGTTGAGGGTCTTCCTCTTTTTCACTGCCCTAATACTTTACCAAACGTGATGTCCTTTTCTAGGGATTGGTCTCTCCTGACAACATGTCTAAAGTACATGAGGGGAAATGTTACCATCCTTCCTGCCGAGGGGCATTCTGGCTGTACTCTTCCAAGACACACGTTTGTTCTTTCGGCAGTCCAGGGTGATTTCCATATTCTCACTAGCACCACAATTTAAATCCATCAAGTTTCTTCTTCGGTCTTCCTTTCTCAATGTCCAACTCTCACATGCATTTGAGGTGATGGAAAATGCCATGGCTTGGGCCAGGTGCACCTTACCCCTCAATGTGACACACTTATTCTTCAATATTTTAAGGAATTCTTAGGCAGCAGATTTGCCCGAAGCAATGCAATTTCTTAACTGTTACCTTCATGAGCACTGGCTATGGCTCCAACCAGGATGAAATCCTTGAAAAGTTCTTTTCTCCATTAATCATGATGTTATCCACTGGTGCAGCTCTGAGGACTTTCGTTTTCTTTACATTGCAATCCATACTGAAGACTGCAGTTCCTGATCTTCATCAGTGTATAGTTCAAGTCTTCTTATTCTCAGTAAGCAAGGCTGTGTCATCTGCAAAGCACAGGTTGTTAATAAGCCTTCTTCCAGTCCTGATACAGAGCTGGTCTCCATATGGTCCAGCATCTTGGATTATCTGCTTAGCATCGATTGAGTAAGGGCAGTGAGAGGACACCACCCTAATAGACATAGTTCCTGATTTTACCATTCCCTTGTTCTGTTCAAACAACTGTCTCTTGGTTCCTGTACAGGTTCCACATGAGCACAATGAAGTATTCTGGAATTCTCATTCTTCTGAAGGCTATCCATAGTTTGTTAATGATGGACACAGCCTTTGAATAGTCAATAAAACACAAGTAAATCCCTTTCTGGTAGTCTGCTTTCAGCTAAGATCCATCTGATGCAATGTTATCCCTTGTTCTATGTCCTCTTCTGATTCTGAATTGAATTTCTGGCAGCTGTCAATAATGTGATGCTGTACAGGCTAGCTGTCTTCCAAATTTCTTGGCACATGTGAATGAGCGCTTTCAGTATTTCATCAGGCTGTTGATTTATTGAATTGGTATGCCATCAATTCCTGGAGCTCTGTTTTCCACTAATGCCTGCCTGATACATTTTGGAACCAGGAGCGGGGCATGTCGAGATATTCCTACTAAAGTGAAAGATAAGCTATTGCATTTAGCACCCCCAACGACTAAAAAAGAGGCCTCTTCGGATTTTGGGCAACATATCCCTCACTTGGGTGTTCTACTTTGACCTATTTATCAAATGACACAAAAAGCCTCCAATATTAAGTGGGGCCCAGAACAAGAAAAGGCTCTTCAACAGGTTCAGGCTGCCGTGCAAGCTGCTTTGCCACTGGGACCATATGATCCAGCTG